ACCAGCTCTCTATATGTGTTCAATCCTCCATGTCATCACCTGTTTACTTCGTGCCTATATGGCTTCACTGCGACTTTCTCTATACAACTCCAGACGCGACTTTCCCTGTATACATGTACATGTATCTCCACTCAGGTTGAGACTTTCTCTGTATGACTTCAACTCAGATTGCCAACTTCTCCATACAAAACCTGGAGAGAAGTCTCAACCTGAGTAGAGATGTAAGGAAAGTCGCGTCTGGAACTATAGAATGACCTGGAAAGAGGTGATGACATTATAGAGACAGTGACGACAGAATACAGAAATGATGCCATACTGAGTGTAATAATTATGGTCTACATTGTAGTACATGTACATAAACGGTGTTCGTGTACGAGCGCTCGTACAGGTCGTAGTTTACTCGACTACACAGCGCTGCGCGGGTCAGTTGGATTTCTTTGGGTCGGGTAGGCAGAGTGTGACAGTGCCTGCTCGGCACCAGAGCCAAGTCAGCAGCTCAGGGTAAGTGAGAGGGGTGTGCACCTCAGGGTCACGGTGGAAAGGAATTAACCAGGTACCCCCACATGTACTGTTCGGCTGGTTGCCATTGGATTCGGCAGCCTGTATATACGACAGGCATTATGTGGTGCCATCGGTGGGCATTCGAAGAAGAAGAAGTAGTAGTAACGACTAATGATTATGTACATGTACTCTCGAGTCTTGGCTGGAGACCATCTACACCTGTTCATTCATTCGTTCAGTGTTTTATCGCAGTTTATACTCTTGCTGATCTGACAGTGCTGACCCAGGTGCTAAGACTTCGCGCTAGTAGAAGCCAAACGCCGTAGTCATCAGATCTGACAGAAACAGGCAGCGAGAAATGGTGGACGCCAGTGCAGTGTCCAGTCCACTTCTTGCGAAAGAAGAATTCCGTCTGTCACCATGGTCACAGCCAGGATGCATTGCCCAGTACAATGGGAAGAAAGGCTTCCTTCCCTGTCTGCACGGCCGTACGGTGAGAGCCACTGCACTGCTAGGAACGTCACGCGAGCCATGAAACCAAGGGAATGGACTTGAATTGAAAGGCACCGTATGCTCTCGTCGTGCTGCCGTTGAAGCTATTTTCCACCGAGAAGCAACAATCCCCCTAATATCGTTATCGCCGTGGTTGGCTACCAACCACTCTCTTCACATTGGCCGGTGTTTCTACTGAGTCTTGAGATGTACATGTATTGTGCACAGTCGCAGACTCGCAGGATCGCAGATGACTTTCAAAGTCAGTTGGGAGCGCACAGGTGGTCAAGAAGGAAATATGGCATGACAGCCATCAGTAGTATTTTCAGTATGGGGAGGTTGTGGCTCAGGTGGTGGTACAAAAATAATAATTGATGGTGCCAGGGAGTCAAAGGAACGCAGCAGTCGCAGTGACGGTGTCCCATTCAAGAGTGGTAAGTGCCACTAGTAAGAGTTCGATTGGCCCGAAGTGGCATTTCGCAACAGCTCGAAATCAGGCTATTCAAAGTTGGGAGAGCGGGACCACATGCTCAAGTACACCGTGTATACCACCCACTGTGACCCTGGCCACCATGGTACCAATGCAACACAGACTTGAGCACACTTACTTTGTAGATGTTTTTTAAAGGGGAAGTTCACCCTAAAATCAAAATTTCACAGTTTGTAGATTTCGAGGCGCTGAGTTCGGTGGTGAAGGTCCCATCCCCGTGCGATACGCCGTTCTGGAGATATTTGAATTTGAAATTTACCATGACGTCATGCAAAATGACGTCATGCGGCCGGCGCACACCCCCTCCACACCCTGTGACGTCAAAGAGATACAGGTTCCCGGTCTGCTTGCTTTTCAGTGAGCGAGAAAGAGTGGCGTTTGTGGAGTTTCTTTCTTGCGACCTGAACAGTTTCAACCACGATGCCGGTTTGCTGTGCTGTCGGCTGCTCTAACCAGTCTGGCAAGCCCCCTGGGACCACGGTGCATCGTATTCCGCGGGATAAAGCTCTCCGAGCGGAATGGGTTGCAGCGATTCACCGCGAGAATTTGCCACCTACGTTTGAGGAGAGTTGTGCAATTTGTTCGGCACATTTTGAGGAGAATGCCTTCCAGAGGAACTTGCAGGGGGAGATGGGCAAAGCGTGCCGCTGAAAGCAGACGCTGTGCCATCGATCTTCCCGGACAGGCGTCCCCCAGTGAAGCGAACGATGTCGCAGTATCAGGAGAGAGAAGAGGTGAGTGAATGGTTCTGGTAATTTCGTGCTTTGAGAGCGTGTTGAAAATTTGTCTGTACATCGCGAGTTGGAGAGAGCAGTTTCACCCACTGTGTTGAGTACATCGTACTAGAGAAGATTATTTACAGATACCGGTACAAAACTGTTTGCAGTGTGTTGATTGCAAGGTACTAGTATTGAATGAAGACAGAAAGTCGTGCAATATATTTTTTTTTAATATTCAAGTTTTACATGTCGTGAAAAGGCATACAGTGGTCACTCTCTAGCTCTGTCCTCTGCTTGGTAAGTTTCAATTCCAAGAATGTCTTTATTGTGTTGCATTGACACTGTTATCTGTGTGTATTCCGCGAGTATGATCCTAGCTCAAGCCCATGTTGAGCCGTATGCAGCAGCATTTCGGTCTCCAGTTGCATGCGCAGTGAGTCCAGACGATGGCATGATATCTGCTGATGCGTGCACACAGACCCCCGTCAGCACACGGGAAATTTAGAGGTAATGTTATGGTACCCACTGGCACTGTGTAGATGAAATCCACACATACATATGCTTGCAACATTGGCAGTACATTTTCATGAGTATTCTTTTGCTATAAACACACACACACACACGCACGCGCGCGCGCGCGCACACACACACACACACGTGCAAGCACCTGGCTGACTACCAATAGTGACAGTTTATGATTGCTTTGCCGTGTGTCCATTATGCAGGTGTTCCACCGGACTCCTCGGCCAAGTTTTCCGAATACCATGCAGCCAAATGTATTGTCGGTATGCTGCGTAACGGTACGAGCTGCATTGGGGAACAGGGGAGTAGATCTTCCTGCTGTTAGTCTCACATTTCAACGTACATTTCAGTGCAACAGCAGCACACTACAACACAATTATTTTTGAAGAAGTATACAAGCCAATATCCTGGTTATATCTTTGCACCATGGAACAGTATTTTATTTTGATGAGAAAATACAGTTCTTGGATGACGACAGTATTACACTATTAGCACGTACCGGTTTTCAAACTCAGATGGCTTCGATCCGGCCTGCTAATGGATCGTGTCCAAATAGCCGCGCAGTACAATGTACAGTGCGTGCTGGTTGCTGCAGCCTTTCTCGAACTGTGAAGTGCAAGTAATGCAGCCAGACTCCGCAACCAATCGCTGCCGATTCTGGAACATCTTTGCAGCAAATGCAGTCGTTCCGCAATAATTGAACGACGCATTTGCCACATTCACACCAGGACGTAGTGCCAGCACGATCGCAAGGTGGCCAGCAGTCTTCTAAGCAAGCAGCAGGGTCAGTGTCGGCAGCAGCCGCTGCAGCTTCGTCAGCATTTACACCAACTTGCTCCGCACTCGCCATCTGTATGATCTCATCCTCGGTATACTTCGGTTCCTTCGCTGGCGTCCAACTCGCTCTCCTCGGAGTCACTGTCATCTCCTGACAAGGAGCTAGACCTACCCTGAATCGTCTCCACTCATACTGCTTGACTTTCCGCCTTGGACATTCACGACTTCACTTTCTTCTCCGTTCAACTCCAAGTAAAAGTTCCGAGCTCCATGAGCTCCTCTATCTCTTTGACGTCACAGATTCGTGACGCCATGGCGGCGCCAAAAACCGGGGATCAAAGTGATATTTCAGTTGCGTATATCTCCGGTTACGGTCACAGGATGAAGACGAGACATACACCAATCGACTCAGCTGATTTTTCCCAATAACATATCTGATTTTGATTTTAGGGTGAACTTCCCCTTTAAGGGCGAGTATTACATTGTATGTACATGTACATGTACCGGTAATTCTCTTCTGCCTTTTTGCCAAGAGTACATAACCCCGGGGGTTATGCCCGGGGTTATGTACTCTTGGCAGAACATCTCCGCTGGCCACAGTGGATCCGGTTTGCCTCGCTGAGTGCCTTTTGACAGCTGATGCAGCAAATGATTCTGCTCATCAACACTTGAGGGCTCACTGTGACACCCCTGTATGGCAACCTCCCCCATGTCTCACCCCCAAGACGAACTATACCCTGCATGGTACAGTGAAACCTGTCTAAGGCGACCCCTCAAGGGACGAGAAAAAGTGGTCGCCGTGGCCAGGTGGTCTTCTTATCCAGGTTCAGTGGGTCACGTGACCATATCGACATGTGATATAATTATCATTTTGATCAGTGCATCACAGTGCACACACCTATGAGGCTATGCTAATCTAGCACGACTCATGTCAATGGTCATCAGCTACTGCCATGACGTTTAACACCAGTAAATGCGTCCACCTACCCTTTCAAAATATGCATTAGCCCCCGGCCCGTCATCCCCCTTGACAATGAACGGTGTGCCTATTCAGAAAGGTGATAGCCACTGTCATCTCGGCGTGACTATCACTCCTTCACTAAATTTTTCTGACCATATAAAATCTATCACCCATAAGTTTATTTATTTATTTTATTTATTTATTTATTCAACATCTCCTGGCCCGTCCGAAGACTGCCAATAAACATGAGAGGTCAGGTGATAGCCAAAATAATAATTCTGCCAATTTTTCTGCCGGCATGACCATGAATGCATAATGACCAGCCCCGCAAGACCGGGCAACTATTACTTCACTGACTTGTGCAGTTGTGGCGCCTGATGACCATGATGACTGGGCACTTGTTGTTGTGTGGCCAGAACGGCAGAACTGCCAGAACTTACTTTGGCAGAACTGCTCTCAGTCTCAGCGCATGCAGCATGCATCCTATCGGTATCACGCGTTGCCGGGCGCTTGGCCTGGGCTGGGGTGTACGAGCGCCGATCTACCGAGCTCCGGAGGCGGAAGCATGATTGTACAGCCAGTTCATCAGTTGGCATTGTTTCCCTTGCACACATTCCAGTTCTTCTTCTTTTGCAGATTAGCAGGATCCGTAAATAGAAAAGCTCTCCGCATTCTCCGTCCTGGACGGCATGCGGCCCAGAACCAGTGTACTAGTATTCGGAGCTAACAGTAGCAGCACAAGCTAAGCCGGTAGTTGAACGCGTGGTGTCATAAGTTTGCAGATAACTAGATCCGGTACTGAAAATTCTTCGGCAAGGGTTTCGCTCTTGGTGGTGAACCTGTGCGGCGAGGACGTGGCTGTCCGACTTACTGGGATGAGAACCTCGTCGACTGCCACTGTGATGTGGATTGTTCCTTCGCTAACGGTACTGCTACTGCTTGAAGCTGGGCTGCTCGCCAAATCTATTCCCGCACCGAACTGGGATGGAAAGGACCACTCTGAAATTCTCAAAGACCTGGTGCTGAACTACGAAGATCATACCCGTGACCCACGGGCGAATACTGGTAAGTAACGACCTACTAAAGCCATTGAGGAATTTCATGTCACGTTCGTCCTTCATCTTGCCGCATTGCTGTCTGGAGTGCAGAAGGTATAATTAGTTAGTCATCTTGTCGCATTGCTGTCTGCAGTGCAGAAGGTAGTAATTAGTTAGTCATCTTGTCGCATTGCTGTCTGGAGTGCAGAAGGTAGTAATTAGTTATTTCCAGAGTCTAATATACATGTAGTAATAATAGTGAGGTTTTGCATTCTGAATTTCGGCTCGGCGTTTTTCGGTCATTTGTCGAACATCAAATGTCGAATTTTCGTACCAACGTTTGTTTTGCAAGTCGAACATGATGTGTTTTCATTTCGTGAGCTCCAGCATCAGCAACGTCCTGTCCTGTGCTCCTTTTCTTGCTGATTCCAACGAACTTTGATCGCCCAAAGAGTCGAGGGCCTAACCTGCCTCCTCAGTCGCCTCAGAAAAACCAACTCCATGGCCAAGTCAAATTGTATGCGTATCGCCATAGTCGTTTCAGCCCCACCGATGACGGTGGGGACACTCCAGGCGAAAGAGAGTAGACAGGAGCAATCAGAGGTAGCCTACGATGCTGATATCGCCGAAGACGCCTGGAAAGCCATGCCGAGATAAGAAACCTCTTTGAATAAATCACTCGCTAGTGCTCTTCTACAAGAACATTTTCCGAAAAGTATTTTCGGCAAAGCGAGCTTTTTCCGAACAACCATGCCGAATCTTCGTGTGCATTTTCGACCTCGCTCCCGCGTGCCGAATCTTTTGCCAAATTTTGGAATGCAAAACCTTACTATTACTTATTCCGACAGCGATCCTTTTCACAATGTGCACCATGCATTACCCATCACTTCCTGAAGAAAGTGAACTACAGGTATAAGGTTGGTGGTTATAGTAATATACCAGCTATAGTGTTATCTAACTCGGATGGTGAGTCTATTAAATTATTGTGAAAAGAAGAAGGACCAAATGTTACGAGTTATGACTAACTGTCCACCAAGGTAACCAGATCATATACAGTCAGCGAGTGCGACAAAATGGCACAAAAGTGGCAAGGAGTACTTGGAGAAGTGTTGCAGAAGTGTTGGAGCTAGGTGTCAGGTCGCCGAATGTCTCAGTACTCCTTGTCAGTTTTGTGCCATTTTTTCGACTGTATAAGATCTGTTTACATTGGTGGACAGTTAGTCATAACTCGTAACATTTTGTCCTTCTTCTTTTCACAATAATTTAATAGGCTCACCATCCGAGTTAAATATTGCACACCTGATGAGCTGTCATGACCTATATGGCGAAACGTACATCGTGTGGAACTACTTGTTATTGTACATAACTAGTCCATCATACATGATAGTGGAGTTCAGTAGGATGTTGGCATTTCGGTTTGTCACAATTCGTCTTCGCTTAGCTTCCCCTTTCTTCGTTTATTACATAAACTTGAGCCTCTCAAGTTGGGTGGTCTGTTGCTTTGCGTCGTCGAGTTGTAGTCAGGCCGGTATGTCCAATAGTCTTACTAGTTTCGTCATCATCCACATAGCCAGCAATCGCATGTCATCACGTACATTGAAAATCAACATAATTTTGCGAATCGATCTTTTTTTCAGGATCACTTTTCAACGAGGACGAAGCAAAGTCGGCCGAACGAAGCCTAGAGGAAGAAAATCACCCTCTCCACTTCACCATCACGATACTGACATAGATACGAGATGAAACCACTAAAAAATCCACAAGAAAACTGTACGGCCATCATCGCGCTGACTTTGGTCTGACTTTGGTCTGAGAATTTCTATCATGATCAAAAATGTACGAGGAGCACTCAAAAATAAGCCACAGACGTACCTTTATCGCTCTCTACTCCTTTTTCAAGGCACAAAAGTCGACTCTCCACTTTCAAACCAGGAGCCAGACATACCAGTGGTCCTTTTCAGCTGCTCCACGAGCGCAGGAAATGTTCACCAAGGGGCGCAGAGCAGCATCCATTCCAGAAAAAGAGCTAAAACACGAGTGAGACTGCATGACTGAGTACATGAGTACATGAATGAGTACATGCAGAAAATAGTCAATTTCAGCGTTTCTGCTCCAAAGAGCAACTAGCTTCGACTAGAAACAAAGATTACACCAAAGGATCAAACAACAACCATTTTCTGCAGTTTTTTTTGCAGATAGCTTCCTTGCGCTTGGCCCAGCACGCCAAAAATCACACCTCGGAGGAGTACAAAAATTACAACTCTCAGATGTCCTCGATTGCTGGCCATGGTAACTTTCGGCATTCTTTGTTGCCGTGATGCGTAGCTCGTGCTCTTCTTCGTTGCACTTTCCTTCCCCTCTTGGACCTTTCCGATCCTTAACCTTCCAAGTTGGAAGGTTGTTGGTTTGCGCCTTGGAGAAGTGTTGGAGCTAGGTGTCAGGTCGCCGAATGTCTCAGTACTCCTTGTCAGCTTTGTGCCGTTTTGTCGCACTCGCTGACTGTATAATATCTGGTTACGTTGGTGGACAGTTAGTCATAACTCGTAACATTTTGTCCTTCTTCTTTTCAGTATAGTGTTATCATTATTATTTTTGGCGCTGCACTCTGCGTATATATTGCTCTTGTGTGGCTTCCACGGTATTCATTGTTATTACCTGACAATGGCCAAGTGCCGAAACGTTGTAAAAATAACGGAACTGGTTCGGATGTGATGTGCAGCGCTATGGGAATGGGTGTGTCCACCCGAATTCTTTTCACAGATGAAGCTGCAGGAAGCCTCAGCCCTTCTTCAAATACAGTCGTCCCTCTCTAATCCGGCACTTGTTTATCCAGCACTCTTGCAAACCAGCACACTTTCTGGCAAACGGATTTTTTCAGTTCATTTTCTATGCTTTAATCCGGCACTTGAATTCCGCCTCCAGCAGCTATTTTCTGCAACAAATCACTCAAACTGTACATAATTCGATTTTCCAATCCAGCAGTTGTACATCGCATGCTGTCAGGGACCATTGTAACATACACAACACATGTAACATATGAAGTGTAGCCGAGATACGAGAGCAAGTGCAACGGTTCGGAGTGATCGACAAGTAAAGTCAAACTACAGGAAGTTGAGACTAGATTGTGAGATGTTGAACTAGGAGCGAATAGAGGCTTTTATAAGATTAAGGAAGGCATGCTTGTCTATGTTCTAGGTGGAATGCAATAGTAAATGTTGTAGAGGTCGAGAGAAGAGTAGGCGTGTGGATGGAGTCGCATGAGGCTACACTTCCTAAAGCATTGCTAGAACAGCGGGAGTCAATAGTTGTTATGTGCGAGGTGGTCAAGGAAAGGTCAGGCAGAGGAGGTGACAGCTAAGCGGAGTAACAGAGAAAGCGCACTCTCGGAATGCATTGATTAGTTGATTACAAAAGCAATGTGTGGGAGAGGAGCGTTAACTGGCGTATCAAGTATGCTGTGCATGCAGTGCGTGGTATATGCTAAGGTCGTGCGTTTTGGCTCAAGAGGTGCAGGCCGGTATACACTGTAGTTCTAGTCAACTGACTGACTGTCGGTGTTGCGTCATTGTACATAATCTAGTAGAGGTGAAGAGGCGCTACACATACACTTGGGAATATCCTATGCCAGTGTATAGGATATTCCCGCCAAGTGTGTGTTAAAGATATGCATTCCGCAAAGTACTTGGATTGACACAGAAAATCCCTACCATTGCGCGAAATCACGCGACACCTGTACATTTTCGATCTGCGGGATGAAGATGACGACGTCCATGCATCAGGTATCAGGGGGTAGTAAGATACTGGTATATTACTACTCCACGCCTCAAATCGTGCTGTCAAGCGTATGCGGCGGAGTGTAGCATGCCATCCCTTACACTTTCCAGCTCAGGGTTACCCTCGCTACCAATGGACGAAATTTCAGGGTCACGGCTTGCGCAACGGCTTTGTCCTGTGCGAATGGCCACTCGACATACTCAGCACAAATTTTCTATTGCATGCATGCACAAAATGTTTAACTTTCGTATTTCTGGCGACTTTACCACCGTCGTGGAGGCTGGTTGGTGAGGAGCAGGTAGCCATCCCTTGTGGAATCAAACACATGGTTCCACAGTGTGGCTGATTCTGCAAGAGCCAGGTCCATACGAGGAACATTCGCTTTGTCTTTTGCCATCGAAGTAAGTCACTTTTCTTGTTCTCAGTGTTTTTTACGTTCAACGTTTCTGAGATTTTTGAATTATTCACTTTTCATTCTTTCGTACTTTATTTCTTCATGTTCACCGCCTCACTTGCCTTCTGATCTGGAGAATGTGACGGAGGTGACTGTTGGTTACTGCCTGGTATAACGGTTGTCGTGCTGTTGCTGTATTTCCGTCCTGCTCGCGACGTTGTAGATCACAAACAATTTGAAATCACATGAATTGTACTTACCGTCGTGCGTGCGGTATTAGGAAACACTGTGCAGATTAGATCATCGCAATGTATCTATATGTGTATCTGGTCATCCCGTGCCACGCAAGAACTCCAACCAGACGCATTCATCCTCGGCCCTGTTGATCGATTGTCCAATCGTCTTTCCTTGAAGAACGATCGATCAAAAAAAATCGAGCTCGAGGACTTTTTGCAAAAAAACGGCTGAAAAAAGGAAGAAAAAAGGGTGCTCAGAATGAGATTCGAGTACACAACCATGGTCCCAGCAGTTTATGTGGATGTCGCTTATAGATGCGCGATTTCGCGCAATGATTTTGACGTACAACACAAACATGTATGTTAACATGTGGGCCGGGTTGGAGGGCAGGATTTGATAATCCAGCACCCTTGTTTATCCAGCAGAAATTGCTGTTCCAAAAGGTGCCGGACTAGAGAGGGACGACTGTATAGTGTTATCAGCTTCAAAGTTCAAAAGCCAAAGTATCTTTTGCACTCAAACTAGACTGGTTATTAGAGTTGTTGTTGTTTGTTGTTTCTTTATTTTACTTCACCATATGAACAGGCAAGACTGCCTTCTCACCGGGGCTATTGGCCCACGGCTCTCACAATATGATGAAAATCAGAGTAATTGGCTATAGCAGTATATCGCCTATTGTGATCAAATTCTCATTTCAAAACCACTCAGTTGCATACATTTTGGATCGTTTATTTAGAAAAGCGATCCTGTCAGCTTTTCTATTATTGTGTTCAAATTGTAATTGACAGTACAGTAAAACCGGGTGTAAGCGACCTCCGGTTTTAGCGACCACCTGCACCAAATGCCCTGAGAATGCTTGTTATTGGCTATAATTTTGAAAAATGTCCCAGGACGACCCTTTCCTCCTGAATTGTTTGTCGCCCAGCCCCCAAAGTTGGTGCTGCGTGCCTGTTCAGTGCAATGCCATTCACTGCGTTGCCTGCTTGCTGTGCAGAATGCAGTGTCAATGCTAGCTACACTGGCCAGTGTAACCTGGACTGTCAGTGTGTGGATGGCAAGTGGAAATGCTGTCGGCTCAGGAAGAGTGTGAAGAACTTATCACAGGTATGTATTTGCTCCATCATTAGACGGAGATAGCCGTAACCCTTTGAGTATGGCATCACTGGTGTACGATTATGTGCATCTAAGATGCATGAGTACAGAGTAGGATACGACGCCACCTAGAATTAATTCGTTGTTTCGGGTCGCTTCACTCATCCGTACAAGGGTCGGTCTGGTTTATTATTATTATTTTTTTTTGGTTACTGCCATATGCATACACATGTAATCATACCATGTTTCTGCAAATAGTAGGCCGGTCTACTATTTTTTTCAAACTCGTCCTACCCCGGCCTTATAATTGAGGACGGTCTTGTATTCGAGGACGGTCTTTTATCCTTTCAACCCAGTTTGACCCCAGTCTTCTATTTTTCGCCACACAGTTTTACCCCCATTCTTCCATATTTTTCTACACAGTTTGAGCACGTTCTTCTATTTTTTCCCACAGTTTGAGCACGGTCTTCTATTTTCACTTAGTAGGCCCGATCTTCTAATCGGAGACGGTCTTGTATTTTTTCAATCGCCCCTGCCCCGGCCTTGTATTCGAGGAAGGCGTTGTATACGAGGACGGTCTTTTATTTGCGGAAATACGGTAGATTTTGCACATCGAATATCCAAGCTTTTGTCCATCTAGCCAGTCGATGAAATCTGACCGTAGACGATCCAGCGATTAAGGGCAAAGTTCCCTCCAAGATCGGTGTCGACCAAATCTTGGCCACGCTGGTTAACGAGTCTGACGAGCAGCTCTCACCAAAACTGCTGTCAATGAGCGAAGAGGTGGCGGAGCTGATATTGTTTCAGGACCGATTGCGGATTTCGGAGATATAGAAGACAACGTCGTCACCAAGCGCTGCATCCTGTCATTCTGCTGCTTCCGAGGTCGATGTCTGGACTGCTGAAAATCGATCGCGATCCGCGGATTGGGAATGATCTGCTCTAAAATCACTTCAGGTACGGTCTGGGAGTTTTCGACGCGAAAGGCCCACCCGTCGTGTTCCGTCCAACACATACGCTCACGTCGCTGGCATTGTCAGAGCATGTTTTATTTCGTCCGTAGTTGCTCTGAGCAATGCTCTGTGGAAGCAAAATTGAGATGTGAGAATGTTTGAAGCCTGTTCCTGGGATCCTCACAGAAGCATTCCTTGCTGCTTGCTGCTTTCGTGCGCAGGAATCATTATTCATTAGTAATACTTTCTGCAATCATAAAGGTTGTTTCAGGTCCGGTGACCTGAAACAACGGCTTAATCCTGGGTGGTCGGACAAGTAATATGAACTGTCCACCTCTCCAGACTGAGTAGAATAAGACGTACTACTATTTTTCATTCTGGATACTCTTTATATTGTTCTGAGTGCACAATTAATTCCATCCATTGCTATTTTGCGGCTATCGTCTCCTGGTCAACTTGTTCTTAAACAAAGTCTCTTTAAGAGAGCATGTCTGAGAATACCAAAGTATGTGTGCAAGTGGATCTCTCCGATTTCGCTCAAAATTTGCAGGTAGGTTCCCTTTGGGGTGTGGATCGATTGTGCAAATCCCTTGAAAAAGTTTCTGAAGGGAACCTTGAAATTTGCATACCCCTCAAAAATGGCCGAAATATCACATTATTTATGGGTCTAGAAACGAGTCACCCCACAGCGTAGACGAACAAGCTATGAACAAAACTCCATCAAGCCAACATTGCCTCACCTTAGAAGAGTTCCTGGAGCAGTACCGCTTAGCCACGCCAGCATCCCAGAAGACGAGGTCCATCACCCCCTGACGCCACAAATGATCGTCTTGAAAATAGCCAATTTACAAGCGCTGGCAAAACAGCCAGCTACGTCCTCAATTGGCCAGAACTATACACCGGCAGATAGTAGAACACCTCTTCTAGCGCTGAGGACATCTTCCTTTTGGGGTTTTCTTGAAATAATCGTTTTTGAATTTTTCCACTCGACCATGCTGAAATACGGCCAAAGTCATACCTGCGCAGGAAAGCTCGCCCCTCCGCGACGTCTCCTCAGCAATTTCTACTCCAACACTACTCCCAAGGCCGCAGAACAAAGTATAGTGTTGACTCTGACAAGGAAAAGCAGCGGTGATCACTTGTCACTCCAAACGACGAGCTTCTCCTTGCGCCACCAATAATTTTTTGTGCGACTGTTGATGCAAAAGTGACTGAAAAAATTAGAAGGCCTGAGCGCAGTTTTTGAATTTTATTGCAAGATGCACGGTGAAATCACGTGCCTTGTGACGCAAGAATGCCAAGTCGCTTGGCCCACGGCTCACGAGATTTCAGAGTCACCTTTGTCAAGTGCGCTTGTTACTCGCCTTGAACGCCCGTTGGTCTGGAAGTGATCACACTTGTGTTGTTACCTGCGCTCAAGAACACGCTGATCGTGTTGTAGGCCTACGAACCGGGACTTTCCCTGACCATGTAGGTCGAAGACCAGTGAAATGATGATGAAATCACATTCTTTATGACGTAAGAAATCTCTCATGCAGTTCACGCGACAAGTGCGTGCAGCCAGTGCTGCTCGCGTGCCAGTCAACACAAAGGGACCGAGCTAGCCGCTTTTGTCGAGCATCGACATGAAAACAAGGGACTTTTACTGTTGGACTATGTTCGGGATTGCAGGAGGTAAGTGTGAACTGAAAGACGAATAACTCTCCATGCTGTACGGGGCATATTTCAACGGCTTGCTGCCATTGCAACACTCCTAGGACAGTTTGTGGGGGTTCTCAGCAGTTCAAGCAGGAAATGAAGCTATTCTTACCTCTGCCATCATGGTCTGTTCCGAGTAGCGTTCCAGGCACATTCGCGATCGATGGCCGCGCATCGTGATGCAGGAAGCGTCATCCTACGTCACAGAGCACGCGATCTCACCGTGCATCTTGCAATAAAATTCAAAAACTGCGCTCAGGCCTTCAGTCACTTTTGCATCAATAGTCGCACAAAAAAACATTGGTGGCGCAAGGAGAAACTTGTCGTTTGGAGTGACAAGTGATCACCGCTGCTTTTCCTTGTCAGAGTCAACACTACACTTTGTTCTGCGGCCTTGGGAGTAGTGTTGGAGTAGAAATTGCTGAGGAGACGTCGCGGAGTGGCGAGCTTTCCTGCGCAGGTATGACTTTGGCCGTATTTCAGCATGGTCGAGTGGAAAAATTCAAAAAGGTTTATTTCAAGAAAACCCCAAAAGGAAGATGGGGGACATGTCCTCAGCACTAGAAGAGGTGTTCTACTATCTGCCGGTGTATAGTTCTGGCCAATTGAGGACGTAGCTGGCTGTTTTGCCAGCGCTTGTAAATTGGCTATTTTCAAGACGATCATTTGTGGCGTCAGGGGGTGATGGACCTCGTCTTCTGGGATGCTGGCGTGGCTAAGCGGTACTGCTCCAGGAACTCTTCTAAGGTGAGGCAATGTTGGCTTGATGGAGTTTTGTTCATAGCTTGTTCGTATACGCTGTGGCGTGACTCGTTTCTAGACCCATTAATAATGTGATATTTCGGCCATTTTTGAGGGGTATGCAAATTTCAAGGTTCCCTTCAGAAACTTTTTCAAGGGATTTGCACAATCGATCCATACCCCAAAGGGAACCTACCTGCAAATTTTAAGCGAAATCGGAGAGATCCACTTGCACACATACTTTGGTATTCTCAGACATGCTCTCTTAAAAAATTCAACCCATGGTGTGAAGAAACCAATGAACAAATTGATTTGCTAGCATAATTACAAGTAGTGGTTTTTCAAATCGACCATAAGAAGAAATAATCGATAGAAAATAACGTGTGCGTACTCACACGACGACACCAGAGGAACAATAGGTGCGTGCATTTTGTTCCTCTTGTGTCGTGGTATGAGTACGCACTATTTCTGTCGATTAAAGGACTTTTGTCTCCTCGCTGATTTATTGAAAGAAGAAATTTAGGTATGAGGGCAAAAGAACAGGTTAGGCATACAGGAACGTTAGACACAGAGAAGAACTTCCCTAATGGAAAATGTGTGTTGGTGTTTGCTTTGCTTTTGAAATTTTAGGTATGAGAGAGATACTGTACTGATTGTTGGCCCCGTTCAAATTCCGGCCTCCCAGGGCTAAAACACATTTCGGCTGCATTACCCCTATCGGCCTCTACTCTTGCTGCCTGTATACACTGTGACACTGAGACTTGCAAAAAAATTTCTTCCGCAACAAATATTTAGGCCAAATATGCCCAGGCCGAAAATAGGCGAAAATAAACATGCGCCTAATATTTGTTGACTGACAGTGCACCGAAAGTACTGACAAAGAAAGTACATGTACATTGAAAATTTGTGAAGTTCGTTGTGATGATTTTGAAGTTCTATCTATTTTTCTGCTGGTTTGTTGATCGTTCCTTTTTTGCTATGCAGGAAGAAAGAGATCGATTTACGCATGCATACTTGAAAGCTGTCAAGAATGAAATATACAAGCCAGCTATGCGCGCTATCCTTTGGTCGCACGCAGCGTTTTTCTGCAAGACTATAACGAACAAGGAGCAGTTAGTCTACAGTGATGCGGTGGGATATCACAACTTGCTTTTGCTGGCGCTGGAGAGTCTGCTGCGTCTGATCGACTGTCGTGTTACCCTCCCCTACTGGGATGTTGCCTTGGAGTACGAGAAGGTAAGTACTTCCTATCTGCCCGTTTGACAGTATGGTAGATGTTCGTACAAAACGCTCGAGCGCAAGACTTGTGCAAGTTCTACGTTTGCGAAATTCACAGTTTTGCTCACTTTCGGAGTCTCTTTGCTATCGTCGATGACCTCATCAAATGGCTATTGGGTTGCCCGTGAAATGAGGGTCCGTACGCTCAGCTCCACTTCCATATTAATTTTATGTAATCTGCGGGCCGAAATTCCGCCAAATATTAGGCCACACGTTTTTATTTCTATGTTTCTCGTCACCTGAAAATCTAAAAACATATGCGAGAGGTGGAAAAAAATAAAAAAATGACCGAAAAATAAAAAAAGTTTATCAGACCTTTGTTCACACTAAAATCCACCAATACACAAAATAGCATCCATAGTTAGCAACTAGTATGTGGTAGGAGCTTCTGTCACAATCTGTGCATGTGCAGCTAGATTGCGCACAATAATTGGTGACCTCGCAGGCCAGGCCACATTATGTACATGTGCATGAGTATGCTGGTCCCCACATGCACAGTCAGTGCAGCACATTTTTTCTTTTTTTCCTCCAGACTCCTGAATCGTATGCGCGCGGGTGACGAGAAACATAGATATAAAAACGTGTGGCCTTACCAGTGACTCAGCAGTGCAGTGATGACAATTACTCAAAATTGATAAAAAAAACTTCAACTATGGGAAGCCCAAAGCTCATATGCCAGCTAACCCATGTTCTAGCTTCCTGGTGAGCACAAATGCTAACATAGATATTCACGGATTTAAAAAAGGCCAAAATCATTTTTATGTTACGAATTATGACTAACTGTCCACCAACGTAACCAGATTATAATACAGTCAGATCATCCTCCGCTACCAATGCCACAGTATGGATTGAATCTTAGTAAGAGACAAAGCAAAGCCGTCAAGTGCTGAAGAGGAGAATCCTGAATAACACATAAATAAGCCAGCCTCATAATATACATATAAAAACCTAAAAGTGCATGTCCCAACAATACATGAATACAGATAGATGACCATGTTCAAATCCTCAGACATCAAGAGGGATGCTCGCGGAGATACCGTCACGTCGGATAATGAACGTGGAAGCAAGGCAGATAATTATAGTACTAGAGGAGTAGAAACGTGTACTGATTTAGTTCATGCTGGTCTGAAATACTGAAATACAAGCCTGTAGTTGATGTGGCTCTGCAGACCGCATGCACGGCTGATTTCCAGGATCTGCACAATGGCAATTCCAGCACCAACGCCAACAAGTACAGCCCAGCGGTGGTTCAATGTGTCCAGGACGCTTGGCAGACAGCCGTCCTTGTGCAGACCTTGGGTGACTGGTGTGCACACGCCCTCCACTGGGTGCGTGCTGAATACCGGCAAAAAGGAGCCAAATTTCAAGCTCTTTGCCACAAGCATCACAACAAAAGATATTCAGACCTAGTTTCGTGCCTTCTTTTCGAGTGGACTGTTTGGACGAAAGCTGTCATTCAAAAATATTGATTACCACTTTTAAAAGCATCACAATAGTGGTTATCATGCATCCAACAACGCCTAAATGCAACATCCCACTGAAGAAAGAGGTTTGGCTAGGGTTTTTCTTTCCATATCAAAATCTAGTGGTGAGAGCGTTCTGATTCGTGCCTTGTTTTGGTTTCACGTGGCAGAGCTATTCGGAGCAATTACCAGAAGGGTTTGGAGGAAACGGAGTGCCTCCTGATTACTGCGTGCTCGATGGGCCGTATAGAAAAGGTAACTTGGCAAGCTCGTTTAAGCTACTAAAATTAAAAATTAAATTAAAATTAAAATTGAGACTGTTACTGGTACAATTTTCGTCTGATGATCGATTTTAGAAGTTCGTGAAACTCGGAGTTACGAAACCGCAACTGCTCGTTCTTCTGTCTGACTATCACTAGTATGTTGACAGTGTGTACTGTTATGACCTGGCTTATGTTTCGCTGTTTTTCTCCACAGCCTTTAAAACAACTACTGTTTTTGGATCAAATACTGGAATTCTGTGTAGATGGCTTTGTTCACAGTATTTACCTTGCTTCCCATGCTAACACTTTGGCTATAGCTCTGAGTGGAAGTTCTACATCAAGACAATAACCTCTGTATAACGTTATTATGTGTAAATGCCATGGGTCCATTCTGGTTCGGGAATATACAATGTCCAAATGCGCCAGGTGATGGTGCGATTGAGTACAAAACATCATGATTCACGGTATACCCTGGGCAGCTAAATTAAGCACGGTCACTACTTCAGGCCGCCGTTACCATAATATGTCTAGATTATGAAAAACCCAGGTCCAGGTGACCTCTGGGAGAAACCCAGTGAAACGTACCAGCATGGAGTTACTGTGCCGGCCATGTTTGATATTTACCAAATTTTAACCGCCGAGGCCAATGCCAATCAATACCACAACGTTCCTTCTGTCGATCTTCAGGAGAATTTGTCCTTCCAAAGTTTGTGTACAATGGCGTGGAGCTACCCTTCACGACGTGCTTGAAGAGGAACATATCTGCTACAAGCACCCCCTTTTCGTATATGATGTTCACCGCAATGCTCACCATACCGCCGGAAAACTCGGAGATGTTCGATTTAGGTAAGCACCACAATAAAGGTGCACGTGTGTCAATTGACTCGGGTATTTTTATGATCACTTGTTGATGAACATTTCATCTGTATAGGATCATTGCCACCAGCTTTCCACCAACACTGGAATTCTGCTGAATGCGGGTGTCCCATCTGGTTCGCTTTCTATACATGTATAACGATGAGCTGATTACCGGTATATGATACAGCAACCACTGTCATGTATGATATCGAAAGGAACACAGCACAACAATTATTGTAGTGTTGGTTACTTGGATGTTCAAATCCCGTCACTGAATTGCACAGTGACTGTCTATCTGAAAAGGGCAACAGAAGTCCATTGTTTTTTGATATCCCCATATTCGTTATCAGATGCTACGGCTGCGTTTACACGACAACGCACGACCAGTTTTCCGCTTTCAGTCCTGCATTTCTTTTCTCGTTTTCGTGCGTTTACACGATCAAAGCTGATCCGAGGTGGTCTCGGTTTGTATTGTTTTCGCGCGTCTACACGGGAGCAAAGGATCCACCAAAGTTCGTCATGTGCCAAGTGTTGTCGTGGAAGCACCAATCACACTCAAGGAATAGTTGAAAACAGGCCACACGACAACACTCGTCACATGACGAAAAGTGTAAAAAAATTGATTGTCGTATCCGTGTGAACGGCCGAAAACGGAACAAACGTGACGGAAAACGAGGTCACCAGACCGTTTCGACTGTTTACATACCCAAATTTATCCGGCAGAACATTTCCGTTTTCAAATTGTTTCACATTGGCCAGCGTTTTGGTTTTCTTCAGTTTTGGTGTACAACTTTTACGTTTTGCTCCGTGTGTACATGTGTAAATGAACCCTGCACCCGAAAGGATTTTGTTGCGTTTTCACCCCCAGCGTTGTCGTGTAAACGCAGCCTCTGAAAAAGACATTGCCTGCCCTCTAGCCTGGCAGTAAATTCTCGCAGAATGTTTACTTTAACCATGCCTCTAGATTAGTGAATATCAGGGAGTCGTAAAATACCGGTATTTTACGACTCCCTGGTGAATATCACATCCTTGTTCAATTTGTGCACAGGATTTTTTCTCGACTTTGACAGAAACTTCCACGCAAGCATGGGTGGCACCTTCGAAGGCATGGTACCAGCTATGGACCCACTGTTTTACATGATTCATAATTTCGCAAACAAGATGCTGGTGAATTTCCAGATGCAAGGGCCGCAGCATCTAATCGGTGGAGGGCTCTGGAACAACACAGTATCTGTGACAAGTAGGTATAACGTTAAAGCTACCAGTGTAATATTCTTTGGTCGATGTGTTGCCGTGGTTTGGCATGTGCCTAATGCCTGCCTAGATGTGCATAGAAGCTCAGTGAAAGCAGATGCAGATTCATCACCAAAATGGATGATGGTTGCAATAGCATGAAAAGAGGTTTTTTTCATGTTGCCATGCAGCTTTCCAATGGTTTCAGAACAAGGATTTTCTTGATGCCACAAGCTTTCCGAATGATGTATGCATTCACTGGGATGCAGTCGCCGATCAGGAGAAGCTGATTCAGATGGGCTACTACGCAGGGCTAGAAACACCACGTACCCACCACATAGCACTGTCGTACAAGGTTAGTTGTGATTGTCAGGCTGCGTTTACACGGAGACGAAACGAAACGGAACGAAACGGAACGAAAACGGGCTGGCCTGGAATCGTTTTTTTTTCAAACCGTTTACACGAAAACGGCAAATCGTTTTGAACCGTTTACACGAAAACGGAAAACGGGCGATCAGGCTGGAGTTAGCACGTGCTGGCTAGGCGCAAGGGCCCTAAGTAACACGTTAGTTGGAGTTCGTAAGTGCTGGTGGTCGCAAAGGTCAGGTATTTCCCGCGAAATATAGTCCCGCGCGGAATGGTTTCCATGGCCGCGCTCCGTTTCCAATCGTTTTCACTGTTTTCACCGTTTACACGAGAACGAAAACGTTTTGAAAACGTTTTGAAAACGTTTCAAAACACTTTGAAGTGCGTTTCCATTTCGTTCCGTTTAGGTATCGTTTTCGGGCGTTGTCGTGTAAACGATAGTAGTAAACGCTACGATTTCGTTCCGTTTAGGTTCTACTTCGTTGTCGTGTAAACGCAAATCGTTTTCAATCGTTGTCGTGTAAACGCAGCCTCAGTAAGAATACTCTAGATGTTGTATGCCTACATGCATGGCCAGAACTGGGTCGTAAGCAAATGAAGAATCTTTGCTCTACTCGGATTTTTTTTAAACAGAAAGGTTCCAGGCTGTCCAAACGTGTGCTGAATGCCCTCGGGCAGAGCTACTTACAGCAAGTAGAAGAGGATTAACAGTTTGTTTCACGCGTTGTTGTCTGATGATCTCCTCAGCGTGCGTGAAACTCTGGCTCACAACAAATATTTCATCCTCTGCGCCTTGTACTAAGATTTAAATTATAGTATAAAAAACCTCCAGTCATTTGCGTGCTCTAAAAAGCAGTTAATATTTCTGGTAATCACTCGTATAAAAAACCTGTATAAAAAACCTGGTGCTGTAAAAAACCTGGTGCTATAAAAAACCGCTTTTTAGGAAAAAGCAATCCAGCATGGTAATACAGAACAAAAACAGCACATATTGGCTCAGAGTTTTAAAAACAGCACAACGAAAAGAAAAACTGGAAAAACAGAATAGAACGACACGAAAGGCAGAAAGTGGAAGTGAGCACAAATAGGCTTACGGTACTCCTGCTTCTCCTCGGCCTCCTTCTTGGGTTTTTTCTTAAGCTTTAAACTGAGTCGCTTCTTCCTCTTCTCAGGCGTGGGAGCCATCATGTTGATAGTGACATTAGACCAAGTTGACCCTTGAGCCGAAAGAACTGATGGAATGGGACTGGCTGCAGCAGGCTGTGCCTCGTTTCCACGAAGGCAGAAGTGAAGCGTAGTGTGGAACCATACAAACTGAGTCACCTTCTTCACATCCAGTGTGGTTGACGCATCGGCGAAATACTCCTTTAGGAGAACCCAATCATCATCAGCAATACTATCCTTGTGGACAACAGGAGCCTCCAAACCAGTCCGCTTCCTCTCCTTTAGCACAGCATCCAAGAGTTTGTTGTACCTGTTGAAAACCGGACCTTGCAGGCTGATTCCTCGCTCTCGAGAGTTCAGGTGGCGTTGCCCCGCGAGCAGCAATCATACTTGCACGCTTGTACTCGGATTTGTCCTGCTTTTTAGCCGAGCAGTAGAAGTCTTCGAGCAGGCCCGCAAGTTCTCTCTCTGTGACATTTTTCCAGTCGCAAGATTTGCTATCCGTTTGCAAGAAATCGGAAAAAACAGTCAACCAGAATTCCGTTGCCATTTTGGTTGACTTCGGCACTGCGCCCTCCAACAGCTCGTCTTTCCTTGTGGAAATTACAGGTTCAAAACGCGAAGACTCAGCCATAGTTCTTCAAAAGCGAAAAACAGTTACAAGGAAATGAAAAAGGCAACGTTCTTGCTCAATGCACATGGAAATGACAAGAAATTACTGCGCATGCGTCCCCCTTTACCCAGAAGTCAAGTGCAAATAAAAATCGTTTTTTACACTAAAATTTAAATAGAATATAAGCTTCGCCCTCGTGTTTACGGGAAAAAAACCCTCGGCAAAAAACCTCGGCTTCGCCTCGGTTTTTTGCTTCGGGTTTTTATTTCCCGTAAACACTCGGGACTCAGCTTATATTCTATATGTTAGGTACCTCCTCCCGTACCTTTTCTAGCTGGCCTGCATGCACTTACGTACTCACCTTTTGTCTCCTTTTGTTCCGTTGGCCTGGGTAGCTACTTGCGCGCCCATATTTGCCATAGCTACCCAGGCCCTTTATCTTGCCGTTCAGACTTGATCTCTCTCTCTCTCTCTTTTCTCACTCTTCAATGTAGTCGTTTCGTTCGTCTTGGTCTCTTGTCTCGTCGTCTATAATAAATGTCGTCCCCCAACCTACCTGTTCCCGTTGAAATGTCTGGATATGTCGTCAGTCGTCCTGTTTCGAATTCAACATTGGCGCCCGATTATTGATCGACCCACGACCCTGAGATCATCCCATGCCCAGCCGTCCTCAACCGCCATTCGTCTCGTCTATGTCAACCTCGTCTCGTCCATGTCAGTCTCGTCTCTCCTATGCCAACCTCGTGTCGTCTCTATCAACCTCGTCTCTCCTACGCCAACATTGTGTTGTCTATATCAACCTCGTGTCGTTCAAGCCATGCAGGTCAGCTACCTTTCTCTCTTTCTTTTTTTTGTATGCGTTCCTTCTTCGTCAAATTTATTTTCGTGAATTTTTTTGTAGTGTGTGTGCGCGCGGGTGTCCTTCATTAATATTAGGGGTCCGATCATGGTGAGCCACGCTCTCTTATTTATGTCGTATATTAAAGTGTAACTAGGCTCTATTAGCCGTGCAAAATACTAGTCATCAGAATACAATTCAAGTCCCTCGTCGAACTCCAATAGTTATTTTTTGGGCCATGTTTTGAAGGGGCGTTTGGGCCCGTTGTTATTGGCAATGTACACACTATAGTATGAGTAGTACAGGAACGTTGACGGTTGTAATGATCTGTAGACTGTAGTGCATTTTTTAGTCCACACTTTTGTGAGGCCCGTGCGTTGTGTGTGTTTGTTTTCTCCATCAGTAATTTTTTTTTTAAATCTTTTTCTCTCTTTTTTTTTCTCTCCGCGAGGACGCGGGATTTTTTTCATGGAGGGGTGGTATGTTAGGTACCTCCTCCCGTACCTTTTCTAGCTGGCCTGCATGCACTTACGTACTCACCTTTTGTCTCCTTTTGTTCCGTTGGCCTGGGTAGCTACTTGCGCGCCCATATTTGCCATAGCTACCCAGGCCCTTTATCTTGCCGTTCAGACTTGATCTCTCTCTCTCTCTTTTCTCACTCTTCAATGTAGTCGTTTCGTTCGTCTTGGTCTCTTGTCTCGTCGTCTATAATAAATGTCGTCCCCCAACCTACCTGTTCCCGTTGAAATGTCTGGATATGTCGTCAGTCGTCCTGTTTCGAATTCAACATATACATAAAAATTGGATTGATAATACTAGTTTCAGTTCACATGTCACTCATGGAAGAATCAATGGGCTTAACGCATCTGTCAATGAAATCCAGGCAGAACAGCTAACAAGAGGCATCTTAATATTGTTGTAACGTATCGCAGGAAGAACAACTACGCAAGCGCAGCATAATTTTCCACGAGCATGAGCCATTTTTTCTTGTCTGGAGCCAGCTCAAAACAGTCAAATATTATCAAAAATTGGATTATAGGAGACACAAATACGATCATGCCCCTCGGAAGGGTACGAATTGTTCTAGTGCACATTCTGTCTTCTCTTTTGCAGGAGGTTAGGGATATGGACATGGACAGCAAGGCTGCAGCGAACTATGTCCAGTTCATAAAGTCCCTCAGGGCCACCTTTCTGTCAGCGTTTACCAATGATGAGAATGGCTTCCATCTGACCAAGGACTGGTGAGCTCTATGTAACATCTCTGTTAGGTTGCACAGTGCAAGGATGGAAAAGAATGGACCATTAGAAGCGTAACACTTCCGTGCCTTTTCAGTGTTCACCATACGCTGTGATTTTTCTAATGCAGGCGTTTGGGATTTTGGATTCTAATAAAGGCAGTGCAACTCGTAATGAACATTGACACTCATCACATGCTTTGAACGTGCTTTGTATAACGTGGCATCCTGGAAAAGGAGACATCACAACAAATTTTGCCGTCGAAGAGACAAGGTTTAAATTTGCATTCTCTTGGTTAGACCCACCAAAGCCGTCAAAGGACAAAGAACCATGTTCATGAATTAGCCACAATTACCTGAGGTGCAATACCTATTTTTTTATTATTGTTGTTTGGCCACAGGTACAAGCTGTTTATGGCTGGCTTCGGAAACAGGAAATTCCAGGTGCAGCCCGCATGTTCGCAGTACTTTGATCTGGATCCGGAATTCGAGAAAACCACCGTGTCACCTGGTGTAGCTGAGCTCATTCCATAACAGCCTTGTGGTTTTTTTTTTCAATGTCTCAGCTGTTTGGCCGTTTCATCTATTCCATGGGAAGCTCTATACAATTTATTGATCATTGAATGGTGGTGACATGACATTGTGTTGGTTTCAGAATACACATCCTTGCCATTTTCGTTTTGCGCATCTATTTTCCGCGGGTAGTGATTTTGTGAGAGAGATAGAGAGAGAGAATGTGTGTGTGTGTGTGTGTGTGAGAGAGAGAGAGAGAGAGAGAGAGAGAGAGAGAGAGAGAGAGAATGTGTGTGGATGTGTGTGTGTGTGTGTGTGTGTGTGTGTGTGTGGTGCAATCCCAGCACAAGTTGCTATGGCTTCTGTCGTAGCATTGCTATCATCGCCTCCGGCGATTGGCGTCAAAGGTCAGGTCAGGTGTGTGTGTGTGTGTGTGATTTAGAGAATGAATGTGTGTGTGTGAGAGAGAGATTTAGACCATGCGTATGTGTGTGTGTGTGTGTGCGCGTATACACGCGTGTGAGGGTAGGTGTATGTGAGAAAAGGGAGAGAGTGTGGGTGTATGTGTGTGTAATGGTGGGGGCATGTGTGGATTTGGCATTTAAGTCCCCAGCTCTATTCTATGTCATTCACGCTGGAACTGCTGCTGCATAGCCCCAAGTCTGAAGACTTGGCAACTTCACGCCTGCATCTGACTTTTGCGCTATGATACGCGTCGCCTATGATACCCCTCAGAATTTCCCACCTTGCTCCCCCTTATGTTCAGGCTGCCCGTTTAGAAGCCATCAGTTGCCTGGCGATCGTAGTAATACGTGAAACTCAGAGTTGTGACAAACCTTCCAATCTCTCTTGTAATACAGAAATACCTATATTCTGCCTGTGACTACTCACAGAGAAAGAGTGGTCGCAACTGTACATTCCGCATGTAACTGTTCGCATGGAATTATAGTGGTCACAGCTGTATTCTGTGACCGCTCATAGGGAATTATAGTTTCCACAACAAATCCTGCAGTACGAAGCACTCTGCGAGCAGTCACGAACTGTGTACTTTACACATGTACATGTATGGTGATTTGTGACTGGTCATGGGGCATTGTGACTGGTAAACTAATTTGTGACTGGTCATGGAGGTTTGTGACTGTTTGACTGGTCACGGGGACCGTGATTGGTCATGGGGCCTTGACTGGTCACTGAGTCCTACATATATGCAAAAGGTGATAGTATACATGTGGCAATGGCGCCAATGAAGGTGCTAATAGACAGGCGTAAGATGCATGAGGTGCGAGGGAGTGTAAAGTTATAGCGAACAGGGGAAAACTGTTACATCATCCCCCTCCTATGGAGAGGAAGGAGCTTATAACCCAAATGCTCAAGTGGAATGGAGTACAATAAGCGCAAACACGTGCGAGACGAAAAAAGGCTTCGCACTGAAGTAACACAATAAGACGACTGAAACTCCATGCAAATAAAAGTGTAATAAGCTCAAAAAAATGTGTAAGGTGAAAGAAGTTCAACTGCAAAACTCAGTGGGCAGAAACCAAGGTTTTGTTCTGAAGTGGAACAATGTCATTACCAGATTCATCCAACAAATAATGTTCAGGCTCCCAAGTGGCATCAGAGTAGCCTTGCCACTTGACTAGGTACTGAAGCTGATTCTGCCGGCGGCGGTGACTGAGAATGTTCTCCACCACGTAGCGGGTGTGACCATCAAGGTCCGTGATAGGCGGAGGCGTAGGCTGTCTCCTATTAGGAATAGCGTTCTTCTCGTAGGCACGGAGTGCCGACACATTAAATACCGGGGGACAGCGGCTGGTATGAGGCAACTTGAGCTTGTAGGCGTTCGGGCCGACCACCTGGGTTATAGGAAAGGGGCCAAACCACTTGGGGCGTAATTTATGGGATGGTCGGTCCCGAGCTTCAGGAGTCAGGAGGAAATCCTGGTAGACCATTACCAAATCTCCCACCTTCAGCTTTCCCTCGACCCTTGTCCGATCTGCATAGAAGGCCTGACGAGCTTGAGCTTCCACTAGCGCATCTTGTGAGATCTTGACCGCGTCTTGTCTTGCTTGCAACCAATCAGCTGAATCTCTGCCTCCCTGAATAGGGTTGAGGAAGTCGGGTGGCGCTTTGGCTCAATGAATCCCTTCTCAAGTAATTCTGACAGCTGTGACTGGAGCTCGTCCATCTCTGGTTTCGGCAAGCCGTAGGCGGGTCGAGACGGTGGTCTGGCTCCATCTTCTATCTGGATTTCATCGTCGACTGGTCTCTTCGGTGGAAGCTCATTCGGCAGCTCGTCTGGAAATAAATCCTGGTACCTCTCGAGCAGGTTCTGGATAGCCTGTTTCTGTGATTCCTGGAGTTGTGGCCCGGAACGATTCTCCTCCTTTGCAGCAGTGACCCATGCAAGAAACCCCTCTGCTCCACTCCTCAGGGCATGACGAGCTTGTCGGCCACTGATAAACATGCTTTCCACAGTTGGCCGGCCGGCTGTCGGCGGGTTAGCTGAAGGCAATTTGGCAACAAAGGGCTCACCGTCCAACTGAACTTCGTTCGTACGGAAAGTGATGCTGGGGTTGTTCCTTGTAAGCCACGGCTTGCCAAGAATAGCGTCGTAGCGAGTCAGGGGATACACAGTAAAGTGCTGTTCCTCACTGAAGCCCCCGACTGTCACCTTTAGCGTGCGTGTGGAAATCTGCGGGACCTCGCTGGTCGAGCCGTCCGCCAATGTTACGCTCAGCATTTCTGAGCTTGCATCCGTGTCAAGATGATGCTTTCGAACAAAACCGTCTGCAATGAAGTCATGCGTCGAACCGGAATCTATCAGCATCACTGCACGGCGACCGCCGATCTTTCCCTGTACACGCAGTAGGTCGTGTTCAGGTTCATCACCGACGCTGACGATGCTGACAGGACACCTTTCTGCAACGGGACAATTTCCTACAGCTATGGGTGTCTCCGGCTCAGTAGGTTCCTGGAGAGCAACGTCTTCAACCTCCAGAGCTCCGAACCGGTTAGCGACTGGTAACGGCGTGGGTGCTTGGGTCGTCGCCAGTAAGCGCACCCCCTTTCTTACTGGCGACCAGTGTTTGGGTAGCGCTGTCCACCCTCAGTACAGTCTTCAGCGAGGTGGCCTGGCTTCCTGCAAGCAAAGCAGTGTCCCAATGCTCGCAGTAGGACACGCTCTTGGTCCGTCAGCTTGCGGAGGCCCTGGCCACGGAAGCTGGGCACGGAACGAGACTCTCTACTGGCTGGTGGCCCCGACGCCGGTGGCCCTGACGACTGCTCCACGGTGTTTGCTGCCATGACAACTTGCTCCAGGGTACGTGGATGCTCACGCATGACCTGTCGCTGGATGTGCGGCACTGGACCCCTGACGAATAGCAGCGCTCTGGTGTGGTGGTCGATTTCCGGCACTTGCAGGCTGAGGCGAGTGAAAGCAGCAATGTACGCGTCCAGCGACCCGTGCTGCGCTGCGGAAATTAGTCCCATACGCGAAATTTCCTCGTTGTGCCGTGGTCCGTACACATCGCCAAGTGCCGCTTTCAGAGCAGGCCAGTCGGAAAACACTTGGTTAGCTTCCAATGCCGCTATCAACCAAAGACGAGCGTTTCCAGTCAAAAATCCTGCCGCGTAGTCGACCCTCTGTGCCGCATTTGGGAGTGCCAACGACCGTAGGGCCATGTCCATTGCAAACGTCCATTCTTTGAATGTAGCGGAATCTCCTCCAAACACAGGCAGCTCTTTCGTAAGGCGGGGTGTTGGCTCCCACGGTTCCGAGTTCGGATGTATCGTTCGGTTTCCTTGGCTAACGCACTGAGCGGTCTTGATATCGTTTATCAGCTGAACGACGAGTACGAGGAGCGTAAGCAGAGCGACCAGAACACCTGCCAAAAGCAGAGTAGTAACCATCCTCTGCTACCAGTGTAACAGGTTTAATCGAACTTGAAAAGTAAGAGGCCTGGTTGAGCGTGCCTCAACCAGTTATATGCAAAATGTGATAGTATACATGTGGCAATGGCGCCAATGAAGGTGCTAATAGACAGGCGTAAGATGCATGAGGTGCGAGGGAGTGTAAAGGTATAGCGAACAGGGGAAAACTGTTACATCGCGCTCCACAAAAACAAAAGATTAGGCCATCCAGAATTAATTCGTTGTTTCGGGTCACCCGACCGACCGTCTTTTTTCACCTGACCGCAAAATGTTTTTTTATAGTGCATGCAAATGTACAGACTAGACTATGTACACATGCGACCCTAATAATAGCAGTCCAGATATCGACCTCGAAGCCCTGGCTAGCCAAATGACAGGATGCAGTGTTTGGTGACGAAGTTGTCTTCTATCTCCGATCCGCAATTGGTCCTGAAACAGCATCAGCTCCGCCACCTTGTCGCTATTTACAGAAGTAGGCCTCGGCGGGTAATGCCAGTTATTTCAGCTCAAAATGCTTTTAGCATTGCTAGTTATTCGGTCATATAATGCTCGTTAGAATGCTAATTTGGACTTGTAATGCTTGTTGAAAAGGCAATGTGAACCACTCATATGGCATTGTGTCATAATGTAAGCCACACTGCACGGAATACTGCTATTGGAAGTACCTAGTACTTTGAAAGTAGATTATAATATTATGGTGATGCTATTTCAAATTGATGTGGAACTGAAGTTGCTATCATGAACTAGCAGTGAATAACAGTAAATCAGAACCCTACGTCCACAGTCTTCAAAGTACTTTGAGGGTGCATACGGAATGCCATTTTGGAAATTTAGTATATTGTGTGGTGTGAAAAAGTACAATATAAGTCAACGTATCACTTCGTGGAATGAGTCAATCAGCACAGTGGGCAACTAGTGCATGAGTATAGGTAATCAGTCCAGACACCAAGACTTGGTGATTCATTGCAGCAATCCATTAGCAACACAATGGGGCATAATACGGGCACCCAGTGAACACACTGTCACAATAGTAGGAATGTTACTAACCCTCGATATGCTTGCTCCTTTGGCTTTGGGCAGTCGTGTGCATGCCTCACCGGGCTCATCCTCCACCTCTGCCTCGTTCTCGTCTTCCTTATTATCCTCCTCTGTCTCACACTCTTCCTCCGAAGAATCAGAGACTTCCAAAACATTTCCATTTGATGTACTCATGGTGCAAGCAAGCCAGCAGTGCATGACTCTGTGAATAGGAAAGACAAGGTTTCTTTCCGTTTCCCATGATGGCATCAACGTGGTACGTCTATACCTAGCAGTCGCCACTAAGATTCGCAACAAGAGACGCATGTTGCGAAGTCGCAGGCTAACGTTTAAGCAAAACTGCCAAAAGCCGCTGGTACAAAGTACAGTGTGTACGTTACATTGTAGAGCTCCTGTTTTATTCAGTAATGCACACTCGACTCATGAAGTGAGAAAATGACACTTTTGGGCGCTAATGCTTGTTTCGGCTCCAAATCCGGGTACAATGCTGGAGCATTGCTAGTTCTCAAAACGATGCTCGTAATGCCAGTTATCGCACCCCACGTGAGTGTCTCCATGGTTTGAGCCAATCAGCGGCCTTACTGAGCGTGCAATATTCCCCAGTACACCGCCAGCCAATGTGGATGCACTGCAGTGCGATATTGCACCCCGGCGAGTGAGCGTGCAAATAACCTATAATTATTTGCACGCTCACTTCGAAGTGAGCGTGCAAATATAGGTTATTTGCACGCTCACTTCGAAGCGAGCGTGCAAATATAGGTTATTTGCACGCTCGCTTCGAAGTGAGCGTGCAGTATCATTATAGCCAATATAGGTTATTTGCACGCTCACTCGCCGGGGTGCAATATCGCACTGCAGTGCATCCACATTGTCATCTGGTCATTGGCTGGCGGTGTACTGGGGAATATTGCGAGTCGCTCCGCCAAGCAGTCGCTGCTGGCTTGCTGCAGCACACCAAAATAATAATAATTGGTCGAGGACGCTGTCGCGGAAGCGAATGTGGACCCGGCTTGCGTCCGCCAAGTCAACTTCACAAGCTCCGTGAGAGTCGAGACAGCAGACGCCCAAGTATTGGAGAAGACTGTCGACAGCCGATTTGAGAAACTGTCCGACGCCGCCATCGACAGCCTCGTTTCTGAGCAGAAAAA